ACTACTAACTGCAAGGTCGGTGGTTCAAACCCACCAGGTGCTCCTTGGTAACCCTAATACAGGGTCACTATGAGTTAGATCTGACATGACAACACTTCACAACACCCCCCAAAGACAGACTTGCAATATCTTGTGATGGTGATAACAGCCCCTCCCAGTTGTCCCATCTTTAACTTCAATTATACCTTTCCCTGGCTGGTAAAACTGAGTTTCTAAAATGAAAAGATTCAAATATCATTCCCGCTATTAAAACTTCCAATAGCTCTTAATTTGATACAAAATGTCTGAATTCTATACGTGGCATTCAACCTGCAACTGGAAAGGAAAATGTTGTCTTTATTTGATAGAACAGACTATATAGAAAAGCCAAGAGTACCTACAAAGTACTAGAATTAAAAAGAGAATTCATTCAGCAAGCTTCCTGGATATAAACTATAAGAAGATAAGCATGCCAAAATCGGTATTATCCCCACATATAAAAATAATTTGAAAATAGAAGAGATAAATATAAATGACAAACTCTCCCATTAACATTAGCAACAAAAGCTATCAGACATCTAGGAATAAATCTAACAAATTATACACAAGACTTTGACAGAGAAAATGTACAGATCTTCTTAAAGGACACAAAAGAAGGCCTGAGTGAGTTGTTTCATGAATAAAAAGAATTAATACTATTATCAAGATGCCGATTCTTCCTCAAGTATTCTAGAATTTCAAACACACGTTACATTAAAATTCCAACAGAATTTTTCTGTGATCTAGTTAAGCTGACCCTAAGAGTCACAGGAAGAGTAAAACCCCAAGGAGAGTCCAAATAATTCTGAAGAACAAAGTGATATCCGGCTTTCTGTAATGGATATAAAGAGTCAGAAGACTACAGAGAAGGCAGTGTGTGAGAGATGCAGGAGCAAACACAGAGACAAGAGTAACAAATGGCTACAACACAAGTGCCACTGCAGATCAGAGAGCAAACAGGAAGTAGCCACAGAGTCACTGGTATCCACAGGGTTTTTTGTTTTTACAAAAGAAGACTGGGACTTGCTGCACACTGGGGGGAAAAAAATCTAAATGAAATCTGCAAAAAAAATGAAGCACTAACCATCCCTCCCATGACACTCTGCTTCTCATCTGGGCTTCATTATTCCATTGCAATAGCCCCACAGAACTGAGAGGCAGTTGTCCCAGTTATGGGGTTTATTAGGAGAGCTAACAGGATCAGAAAATGCTCCACCATCAGCCTCAGCCTGAAGGCTCTAGCTCAGTCAAGTCAGCAAAGCTACTTCCCCACTTCAGTGCCTGGAGGCATTCCACTCTGCAGGTAAACTTCCAGCCACAAGTCACTGAGCTTTGCTTCTCTGTGGGATGGGAGTCTTGGTTCTGCTGCTGCTCCTTCTCTGTCTCTGTCATTCCTCCAGTGTCACAGCTTTCTGTCCCTGGGTCCACGAGGTTCAATGTGCAGGGCTCTCGGGGAATACAGGATGCATTCCACTCCTGGCTCTTTAGTCTTGATGCTTGTGAGATTCCCCTCTCTTGCTTCTGAGATGTTTCATTTTATACCCACTGCAGAGTTTCAAGTTTTTATCATCACAATGAACTCCACTGACATCCACAGCGAAATCATGTCATCCTAGCAGTATCTTCTCCCACCTTCTCTTACCTAGACCCAGCAAGGCAGGAACGTTGTTTGGAGGGAGTTATAAACTATGGCTAGAAGAGACATTGATAATCCACTGCACCACAACATTCTTCCCCATAAGCAAATGTATTAAACATGTGAAGGAGCTAACTGCATCTATTCCTCAATTAGTACTTCTATATTATTACTCAAATAACCCGGCCTTCTATATTAGTTTACCAACCACCCCCATTATCTCCCTGGAGTTATTTTTGTAAACCTGCTATGCTATTTTTTTTTAACTGAAACATGGAAAAAAAAATAAAATAAAAAACCCCACTGGCAAAGTGTTGCTTATGAAAATATCTCCCAGGGGGAGGGGAGTGGCTGGCAAACAAATGTAGAAGGTGCATGTTAAAACAAAAAATAAATATGGCAACAATAGTTATCATCAGCCCATAATTTGGGTACAATTTATAGCATAAATGGCATTCATCACGTCATCTACACCTGACCCTGACACTTCTACTCCAGGTCACAGGAAGAGCAAGCAGCAGGGGCGTGTCCTGGCTCCCAATCCAGGACTAGGGCCCATTCACTCTGCCCTATCATGGACTATGGAACTGTTCCCATAAATAACATTTTTTAGAAAATGCATTATTTTTAAATATTGATAAAACTCACTTAAAACTAGCCACAACGATTTTTCTCTTCGTTAGAATATGCGCAACAGAATCTAACCTTAATAATCTTAATCATTTTTCATTTCAAGCTTAATTGTCACTTTAGGTTTCTAGTACAAACCCACTCTGTGGTGGTCACGGCTAGAGCCTGGGTTCCCTACACAGACTCAGGTGTGAGCCTTCACAAGACGGTTGGTGAATTCCTGGTAGGGAGACTTTGGTGAATACGGTCTCCTTCCAGAGACTGGGGTAAGATAGCTATAAGTCTTGGAGATGGTGTCAAAGGTGGCCTTGGCAAAGTTGCCCAGGGTGGCAGTGCAGCCCCTGTCCGAGGAGGATCAGTTACGGATACTGGCCATCGTCAGCAGCTTCTCGGGGGCTGAGATGATATCAGTGTCTCTCAGTGCCTGAGACAATACCGGGTACGGGGATGGGACGTACCAGGACAGAGCCACAGGGAACCATGTAGGGCTTGTTCATCCGGTTCCCCCAAAGACTCCCTGCACGGAGGGTGATGACTCCATGGACGGCGATTGGCCACCCCTTTGGAGCACGTGGCATCCGATGGTGAGGAAAGCCTGGAACCTGGTCCACTGGCTGGTGTGGGATTGCTTCTGCACCGGTAAGACCTTGCGAACCTCGGCCCTGAGGGATATTCCCAGGAAGAAGTCAGTGATCTCAGACGTCTTGGTGGGCAGGGAGAAGAGGTAAATCCCCTCCAGGAACTTCATCTTCATGTCCTTGCTATATCCTCCACCTAGGTCTCCCTACTTCTGAAAGTGGTGTTTCATTCTCTCTGACCCTTCCCCAGAATTCCACACCCTTGGATTTATACCATGACAGTTTTCACACCCTCAAGGGACTGAAATCATCTTCCTTTGAAATGCTCTTTGAATTTTATTAACAAACAAAAGAGAGGAGGAGCAAGATCAAGGCTATAGGGTGGATGGCTTGTGTCCTCGGAGAAAATCTATCAAGATTACCCCTTTGGGATCCCCAAAAGCAGCCACCATAACCCTCAGAGTTGACCTCTTTGCTATGAATTTAATTTGTCCAGTGGATTCCCTCAGAAGTCACTGCTTTGACTGGACCTTTCTTTTGAAGGCACGCACCTTAACGAGACTAAGAACTTGTCTGCAGTCACCCACTGATTGTCAAGTCATTTTTAAACATGCACATATGAACTGGAACCCTAGTAACAGTATTTTTGGATTTGCCCTCGTACATAAAGAACTCCTACAAACCAGTAAGAACAGAGGGGAGAAGGAGAACAGAAAGTAAGAAGAACCAAAGAGACAGACGAGAGAAAGGACGGGAGGGAGGAGTGAACACGAGACTTGACATCTAAATGGCTGATAAATAAATGAAAAAGTACTCACACATTAGTCATCTGAAAAATGTGAAAAAAAAACCACAATGAGACCCTGGGCACACCAACCAGGTGGCAAGGATGTATAGCAGCTGTTATTATACGTTGCTGGTGGGAGTTAAAATTACAAAATTACTTTAAAAAGCAAACAAAACAAACTTTCATCTATTACAGTTCAGTAAATACTCTCCCTAAGGTCCAAAACTGCACTGGAAACATACCCAACAGAAATACATGTACACATGTACCAAGAGACCTATCTAAGGATCATCAGAATAGTATTCTTCATCATCACCCAAGACTGGAAAAAATCCAATTACTAAAACAATAAACAAATTCTGATTCATCCATAATATGAAACAGGATATAACAAGGAATGCAAACAAACTACATAAACAGAAATGAAGACTCTCCCAAAACACTGCACAGGGAATAAGTCAGTCCCAACGAATACCTATTGTACAATTCCATTTTTGCAATGTTCCAAATCCGGCAAAATTAAAGTATAGCATTAGAATTCTGAATAATAGCTAACTTAGGGGAGGGTAAAGGGAATAGAGATCATTAGGAGCGCACAGTGAGGGTTTCTGAGGTGTTGGTAATGTTCCATTTTTTATTAGGGATGGAGGTTACACAGTTATTCGTCTTCTGGTAATTAGCTGAACTGTACATTTCTATTTTGCAAGCTTTTTGAGATATATGTTATACCTCAGTTAAAAAAAGAAAAAGAATTTGTACACATTTTAATATAAATGGCACATAAAAAAATCCAATATTAAAACCTTAAGACTTTTAAAAAACTACCAATATATAGGTATCTACACCCTCGGAAACCCTGTACAGGGTCGCTATGAGTCGGTTCCGACTCCACGGCACATAACAACAACAACAACAACATATCAACACTCATGGAAGCAGCAGTCAAGAAATCAAATGACGTATTAC